CATAGTCAGATAACTGCCGAGTACGATTAGTGCCAAATGAGCAAGAATTTGTAAATCTCTCCGAAACTCAGACCGCGAGTAACTGCAACAAGTCTCTTTTTAGTCTTTATATTGTGGAATCCTTCAAAAGCAATCGTAAACCACCGTTGTGCTTAGTAAAAGGCCACTATTATACTTTTTCTCAAGTCATTTTAGCGTTAAAGCCATAACTTGAGTTCACCATAAATCGAGAATATTTTATTGTTTAACGTTTTGCGGTTGGGAATTTACGCGTGCGGTAAGACTGTAGAGTAAGTTTCTTCAGCCCTACCTATCAAGTCTTGTGTTGTTGTGCGTCTTGTGGTTGGGAGCTTTTCAATCATTCTCCTCAAGGGCTCAACGCAAAGCACCACGCCGTCAGTGGGATGCCGTTAGACAAGACCTTTGTTGTAGTTAAGTTGCCTGGCTTACAGTGTGCTTACTGTTTGTGCGAGGTGAATTGGTGCTACTCTCACACCGGTATTTTGTCCTTCAACTCCTCAACAGATGGCTTGATTTGTGATTCTTCAAATTGCACGCGCTAATGGTCATATTTGTTTGTAACTCGCCCACTTTGTGGCAATATGAAGTTAAAGCATCACCACCATCAACCCCAGATTCTATGCAGAACAGTCACGGCGTCTCCTCATTGGATGAGACTGTAATGGCGGTCATTGTGCAAAAGCAAAATGATGAACAAAAGAATGCCATTGAAATATTTGAGGCAAAGGTCTAAACAACCACTGGCAAAAGCCTTCGGGGAGATATTTTTAGACCACATACCTCAAGGTCACTTCTACGCAATAAAGCGTTCAAAATGGTCTTACATTACGCAATTACCAATCAGAAATCGAGCTTGTCGTTAGCCAGTGTGCATGCTATTTTCTTGCTTGTCGTCCACGCGTTAGCGGCTATTGGCAGTTCTGTGCCTGTGCATACCTCCCATTTTAGGAGGGCATAGCTCACTGTGCGTTTAAAAGCTGACTTTGTGTTGCTTGAAGGCGCACTCGGAAGTGAGTTGGAAACTGTCTATGGTTGAAATGGATTTTAAACTCATTATAATTGCAGAAAACACTCATGCAGGCTAACGAGTCAAAAAGCTTCCATTGGCAAAGGAAGACAAGTTCCATTGAACGCATCCCGACTGCATTATGCCAGCAACCGGCAAGTAAATGCGAGCCAACTTCAGCTCGACAGCCTTTAACCCACAAGCAATTCTCTCAGGAATACGAACGTTCCTCCTCACTTAGTGAATTGATCGCTCCAAAGCTGCACCGAAAGGAGGTGTTTGAGTCGGCTCTTGGTGCCTCTGTGCCTGTTGATCGTGACTTGGCCTCCAAGTTGACTGTCACTTCTCCAAAATCGGGCAATTCTATCTATGATCGCGTGGCCGCTGCTCTCAATCATTCAGAGAATTTACCAGTTCAAATTCTTGGCCTGCCACCAGACCATAGGAGGCATTCAGCCTTCGCTTCCACTACCACACATATAACCGCCTCCATCGATCACACAAAATCTACATCCGGCTCCAGCCAACAAAGCTCAGGATCATCCTACACGGGCTCTGTGGGTAAGCAACATACCATGATTGCACCAGCCACACTATCTAGTAGTACCAGTACGGTAGCTACAACAACGTCTAAATCTCATGTTTCAACTCACGTGAGGCAACGGCTCAAGGACTGTGTGCTCAACAAAAGGAGGAGTAAGGAAAGTGTGACCACAGGTTCTGGCACGGCGTCATTCGTATCTCCGTCAATGGAATTGGATGAAGATCGGGGTCCCAACGCCACGGGCTGCCCAAATCACACAATCGACTCTGAAAGGGTATTTAACAGTGGTTATGGGGTATCACAGATGATGTGCACGACAAGTCAACTTACTCCTGGACAGCGATCAGCCTTCCTCACGGACACCGGAAAGCAGCTGGCCAATCTGCCACCTTGGGTATTCATCGCGCTTTCTGCAGGACAGGAAATACGCTTTAATATTGATGCTTCGATGGTGGCGCCAAGAAACACATCAGTGTTGCTACGTAAAACTCTTTCAGAGCCTAGCCTTAAAGTGCGTGGTAGCAGTGGAGGCTTAAAGCATAAGACAAACAGAAGCGATAGAAGAAGCGTTAACCCACTAGCTGTTGCTGCGGCTGTTGCGAGCTCTGCTCCATATTTTAGTCATCATACACGCGGCTCGCGGAGCATCAGCGAGGCCGGAGATGTTGGGCAGTGTCTGGGACTCCAAAAAACCTCCTCTCGACCATTACCTACACTCTCGCAACTCACATTGGAGAATAAGGAACTATCGAAGCATTCCGAAGAAAATGACAATACGCCGATGGAGGTGGCCAGCGAAGTTGACTCCCGTACAGTTACCGCCAGCATGAATTGTGGTACGGCCGATGTGGATATGAATGAGACACATGAAGCCATGTCGAAGTCACCGCAACGCTCTGATGATAACGAAGCTGTCCAGGAATTTCTTGCCGCCCTGGCTACTAATCCAGTTGCCATGAGTGGAGGATTACTAAAAGCAACCCAAAATTATCTTACTTTAGTTCGTGAATATATGAAACAAGAGAAAAATAAGAATAGTCGAGGAGGTAGTCCAAAGAGTATGGACCAGTCAGTGGGTTTATCGAAAGAAAGTTCAGAGCTATGTGAGCCTGGGAGAGGTAGACAGCAGCCAAGTCAAGCACCATATCGTCGATGCAAGCAGGTTTCTGGCCTTCTCAGTCGCACCCGGTCGGCGCCGATTCGTCTGACAGGGAATATAGTTCGAGGGAACTTTGGAGGCTCTACGAGTTGTGAGGGG